AACCTACTTTCTCAAGTTTACCTTCCTTGTTTGAAAAAATGTCAATAAAATCGTCAAAATATGTTTGACATGGTTGTAGCAGGCATATCCTTACACATACTGTCCCGCTATAATTATTTCTGAGAATTAATATGTACTTTATCTATTACGCGTAATTACACCTTAATTACGTGAAACTAGTCTTTCTTTCGTAAACGTAATAAATGCGTAATTGCGCGTAATGTTCCTGCGTAAGTGAAAGAAAGTGTTATGCATAATTACGCGTAATTACGCATAAAGTAATTACGACTGGAAACCCTACTGTAGTGAGTGTAAATTCAAATAAAAGCAGCCTGAAGTCAGACCGTATGACCAGGCGGGACAGTGTTTAGCAGGACCGAAAAGGTGGGCCCAGCACAGATATTCAAATGGACTCCAGTTGCGTGTGATATAGCCCTGTTTGTTAAGTTAGTAAAACAAATGAGCAAATTTTTAACGCTTATTAGACAATATGTACTCTTCATTTCTTAATAAGTAAACATACTTAAGCAGTTTGAAAAATTCATAATAACACAACTTAAATTTCCACAATTTTGTGTTATCATCAATAACAGTTATATTCTCTTATATTTCAGTTATATCTTTTGCTGTTGTTAATACTTTGCATTCAGGCACAAAAACGAAAATTTCAAAACAGGTTTATGATTTTAAATATATGTATTTAAGAAAATAGCCTTTCTTTGAGCCATCATCCAATCATTTTTAATTTTTTAATTCATGATCGTTCCCATTTCCAAGAGAAGGATTTTTACTGCCTGTGTTAATTAGTATAATGTGGATGTGTATGGAAAATCCCATAACTTTAATCATTCTGCTATTTGTTTCAATTAAAGTGGAGGCTCTAATGTGTGGGATTTGTTACAGAGGCTTAAAATTACAAACAATGCAGCTTGGTTTTAATAAGACTGAGCCCACGATTTAAAACCTTCGGCTTGAGTCTTAATTCCTTAGACGCAGCTTTAAGACCCAATCTTAGACCCAACTCTGACAACAGCTTGTGGAGCTTGTGTCACATGATTGACAGCTGCGAGATCTTAGGCTCGACTTAAGGAGTTAAGCCCAATGAAAATAAAACCGACCTTGGTTGGTTTTAGTGAAGAATAAGGCTCAATGTTGGGTCTTATTCTCATCAAAACCCGGAATGCACCAATTCCAACTATGAAAATCCGCCAAATAGAACATTTAACCGGTTTTATGAACTAAATTCTGTTGAAAAATAGATGCAACTTAAATTTGAAAGCCCGAGCTGTAAATTAAGGCTCAACAACAGCTTAGACCCGAGTCGTATTTTCTTGAATTTTTTAAATCGCCGGCTCTGTGGCCGAATTTAAAGAATTTGAGCGGTGGTTTAAATTTAAGCTGCGGTTTAAATATGGTTGGTTCCACTTAAAATTGTATCAAATGTTTCAAGATTTAAGCCGGCGCTTCATTTAAACCGGGTTTTGGCGGATTTTGGCGGATTTAAACCGCGGCTTAAATTCTTTAAATTCCATCTCAGGTCTATTTTAAAGGCTACAGTTAAAATCAAATTTTAAACAGGGAACAAATAATTTAAACTTTTTATTTGGTTAATATTTATCCAAGGGACACAGAAGATCTTGACAACAGTGAAGTAATAGAAAACAGGGAAGATCAAGGAAGTGGAGAAGATCAAGGAAGTGTGGAAGATCAAGGAAGTGGAGAAGATCAAGGAAGTGTAGAAGATCAAGAAAGTGAAGATAAACCAATAAAAAAAAATAATCAAAGAAGAAAAAATAACAGAGGTAGAAAAAGAAAAGGAAATGGAGAAAATTCAAACAGAAGAGAAGATCCAGTGAACATAGATGATATAGAATATGGAGAAGATCAGGAAAAAGAAGAAGAACAAGCTAGTCAAGAAAACCAAGGTAGCCAAGAAGATCAAGGAAACCAAAAAGATCTAGATGGTGGAGAACCTCTAGAAGGCATAGAAAGTTTAGATAATAAAAAAACAAAAGATAATGAAAGAAAAAGAAATAAAAGAAACAGAGATAATCTAGTGGAGTTACCTAATCTGGAAAATTCTAGGAAACCATTCATTAAAGGTAGCTCTTCTGTTTATAGGACTGTCCACAATATTTCCTGAGATTCTATCATTATTTCCTGATATTGTATATAGCAAATATTTTTTTTCAAGGAGAGGTCTGTCTTATTTTTACTTTAAATTCCTTTTCAATAAGTTGAACACTCTAATTGGATAGTTCCTAACAATATGTATTTTTAGTGTGTGGGGAGCCTGGGACTAATAGGGCCGTATGTTTAACAGGACAAATTTGCTTTGAGGAGGTAAGATAAATTAAGCAAGAAGTTCATTGAATATATTACCAGAATTATGAAACACATTAATCTATTAAACTTATGAAGTTTAAACAACTTAGCTCCCCAAGGCACAACAATAAAAACCAGTAATATTTAGTATGGATGATTATTGTCTAAAAGTTGTGAATAAGTAATAAAGAAAAGTTCTGCACAAGATCTTCAACCAGGCAGTTGTCTGACTCAATATTCGCCACCTAGGCAAATTTTCTGATATGTGCCCCACATCAACAAGATTAAATCATTTAATATAGTGTTCCTAAGATGTTTTGTGTGGAAATATGCGTTTTCATTCGTAATGGTTTGGAACTCAATGTATCCAAGTTTGTAATAGAACACTCTCTCATGCAATGTGGCTATTTCTTTCATATTCCAGAGTATTAAATATGTTCAGCTATTTAAACATTTGTGTTCATTGTTTGCTAACATTCCAACTATTTTTTATTTTTATGTTTGTACTGTAAGCCTGAAAATTCTTAGTTGTAAATAAAACTGTAGTCCAAGTTAGCGTAAGCCAGATGACATTTGACCTCATTCTCGTGCATAGAAACTATTTCGATAGTTGAAGGGATCACATGATCAAGCCAAGCCAAAAGGACGGTTTGGATGCTCCACTAAAAGTTCAGGCCAATGATGGTCTTCCACAAGGGTTTCAAAGTAGGAATGACCTAAAAAGAATCAAGAGATAGTTAGCCCTGATAAAGTATCTGATGAGAGAGGTTGATTTACAAAATGTGGTGGAGAATAAGTGAAGATTTGTCTAAATGATCCAGCTGCATTACAAAATTTTCTTCATTTTGATCCAATATTTAGTTGTTTTTTAATGGTTGTAAATACATTTTTTCTATACTTTATAGACTTATTCATTCAGTTATAAGCAATCAACTTAATGCAGTAAAAGTAACATTTAGAAAGTTGTAGTTCTCTGTGAATTAGTAAATTTTACTTGATTTTAGTTTGTTAATTGAATTAAGGTTAATTGTTTAAAAATGAAAATAATTTTATTAATTTGTTTAGGTAAAGAAATGTCTAGGTAAATATAGTCAAAAGAAGCATTGCACTGTAAGTATTGATTATGTTTAGTTTCCTTCCTTCCCATGTCCGTTTAATCATAACTACACAGCTGTAACTACATATAAGTATATTAATTGATGGTAGATAGTTTAGCAACCCAGATCAAATTCATAATGTAGGTCTCAGGTAAAAAAGAAAGGCCAAGAAAAAACTAATTTTAATTAATATCTTTTGCGCAATATTTCAAAAACATATACTCTCAAATAAAAATAATAAGTCAACAAACTGTGAATATTAAAAAATTAGCTAAAAATATATATTTATAGCTAACAGGCTTCTCCTTTTACTGTTGGTTGAGTGAGTGAGTCCAGCTTTGAGAATAAATGTTCTATTTATTTTGTATTTTAAATGTGATACAAGTTGACCAATAAGTATAAAGACTACTTGCTGATCATTTTTGAGCTGTCATATCAAAATAATTACTTTGAAATTCCATAATGTGGTATGCATCCAAAAAAAATTGTATGTTTCACCTTTTTAAATGTTACTTTATGATTAGATTTACAGGGAGTGTTCATGAAAAATGAGAGGGGGAATAGTTTTACGCCAAAATAGTTGGCCGCTAGATGTCTCTGCTCAATCAATGCTTTGAATAATTGCAGAGACACCTAGCATAAAAAGTTGTTTAAAGTACATTGTGTATAAAACAAATATCAAATATTATGAAATATTTACTATAATATTGGAATGTGTCAAAAAATAAACGATGACTTAAGGTTGTAATATCTGAATGATTTGTTTGAAATAAAACACATCAGAGAGAGGTAAGATCAGTAGAGATCGAAAGCGATTAGTTTTTGCCCTTTCATTTTTCACAAAAACTTCCTTTTAAAACAAAGATTAAAGATGATGTTTTGTGGTCGACCTGTACTGTACCAATTCAGGTCGAAAGGTGAACTGTGAAAAAGTCGGAAGAGCTTGCTGTGGAGATAAAGGAACCTTTGGAAGAAAATGCAAGAAAGTACAGTAAGACCAATTAAACTGTTAGTCTGAAATTATCCTTTTAAATATTCCAATACACATATAAAAAAAACATAGCAACACTTTCAATTTTTAATTTCATTATGGAATTTTCAACTATAAAAACTGTTAACTAAGGTAAAACTGACAAATAGATAGATTTTAGTAGCAAAACATTTTTTCAATTTTTTATTTTTTTGCTTTTATAAAGTTTTATAAGTTTAAGATGTCACTGAACTACTTAATGCCAAACTGAACTACTAAAACTAAAAAATAAAGATATTATTAAGGGTGGTCGGTGTGCCCGTGATAAAGATGATACAGCAGAATGTGTTGGAGGTAAGCTGTAAATTTAAAACTTTTATGCAATTAAGAATTAAGGTTAAAAAATGAAAAAGTGAAGTAATGTTATTTAGACCAATTTCTTTAAAGTATTTTTAATTATGTGGTCTCTCTCAATTTCAATATTTTTTGTGTTTTTGTATATTTTTAATCAAAGAACAAAACCCAAAATAATACAATAATACTTGTACAACATCTCTTTCTAAACTGCCTACTTGCTGTTTTTGGTTGAGATCCCTTTTCAGTTATATTGAACTATATTGAGTCATATTGAACCTAATAAAACAAAGTTAAGAAAAACTATTGAGAAAGTGGCAATTAAAAATACAGAGGGGAAAAAAGGGAAAAAAGTAAACAAAAATGTTGAAATAACTAAAAAAATATAGTGTACCAATGCTGGGTGATATGACCAATGAGCATCACTCAGTGCTTGATTTTGGCAGCTATGTTTCCAACAGTTTTGTGTTTGTATCATCAAGAACAATGCAAACCCTTCAGTATCACAAGCTGGTTCTTCTAAGATTTTATAACCCTAGCATAAACTCTAACCATCAATATTTTGAGTCTATGATCTATTTCTTATTTTAAGGATCAGAATACTATTACGAGGATGAAGCAGAATACTATTCAGATGATGAAACAGCAAATTTTTATTATTATTATTAAGATTTATTTATTTATGAGTATTTGGACAGGTCAAATAAAATAATTATTAACTATTGATGAATGTTTCATTGCTTCTACAATACATATCTTTCTCCTATTGATTAAAGGGACTGTAAAGGAAAAATGAAAGGGGTAAAAGATGAAACCTGAGAATCTCAGGCGTTCAACATACAGACAAGAGATCTGTCTGACGTTTCTGTCTCAAGAAATTTATGTAAAACTGTGTCAAATTTATACAAAAATTCATAGGTTTGCAATTTTGTATGAAAGTTGTAGTATAAAACAGATAGGGCTTCCAATGTAATAGATTATTCTCTTACGCGTAATTACGTGCAGTTACGCGTAATAATTTTCATTTCGTGTAATTTCACAGGATTACGCATAATTGGGGAATTATCAATTTTGCGAAATTACGGCGTAATTTTGCGTAATTTCTAATCTGTAATTTTGCAAAATTTTGTAATGATAACGCGTAATAAGCGAAAATATAATTACGCGTAATTACGGCCTAATTTCGCGTAATTTCTACGAGGTAATTTAGCAAAATTTTGTATTAATTACTCGTAATTAGCAAAACTTCAATTTTGTGTAATTTCTACAAAGTAATTTTGCAAAATTTTGCAATAATTACATCTATTAAATTTTGATGTTTTAACTTTTAATTTCAATAAAACAACTAACTTACAAAGAAAATAATGTCACGCAAGTTGAATCAGAATTTCAGCCAATATATGTTGATGTAATTTTCACGTTCGACAACTAAAAAGTTTAACAAAGGGCCAATAATTTATTTTTATCAAAAACTACATAATCTATAAAATTTTTAATTTTCAACGACTTGTTAATATTTCAACCTACTTTCTCAAGTTTACCTTCCTTGTTTGAAAAAATGTCAATAAAATCGTCAAAATATGTTTGACATGGTTGTAGCAGGCATATCCTTACACATACTGTCCCGCTATAATTATTTCTGAGAATTAATATGTACTTTATCTATTACGCGTAATTACACCTTAATTACGTGAAACTAGTCTTTCTTTCGTAAACGTAATAAATGCGTAATTGCGCGTAATGTTCCTGCGTAAGTGAAAGAAAGTGTTATGCATAATTACGCGTAATTACGCATAAAGTAATTACGACTGGAAACCCTACTGTAGTGAGTGTAAATTCAAATAAAAGCAGCCTGAAGTCAGACCGTATGACCAGGCGGGACAGTGTTTAGCAGGACCGAAAAGGTGGGCCCAGCACAGATATTCAAATGGACTCCAGTTGCGTGTGATATAGCCCTGTTTGTTAAGTTAGTAAAACAAATGAGCAAATTTTTAACGCTTATTAGACAATATGTACTCTTCATTTCTTAATAAGTAAACATACTTAAGCAGTTTGAAAAATTCATAATAACACAACTTAAATTTCCACAATTTTGTGTTATCATCAATAACAGTTATATTCTCTTATATTTCAGTTATATCTTTTGCTGTTGTTAATACTTTGCATTCAGGCACAAAAACGAAAATTTCAAAACAGGTTTATGATTTTAAATATATGTATTTAAGAAAATAGCCTTTCTTTGAGCCATCATCCAATCATTTTTAATTTTTTAATTCATGATCGTTCCCATTTCCAAGAGAAGGATTTTTACTGCCTGTGTTAATTAGTATAATGTGGATGTGTATGGAAAATCCCATAACTTTAATCATTCTGCTATTTGTTTCAATTAAAGTGGAGGCTCTAATGTGTGGGATTTGTTACAGAGGCTTAAAATTACAAACAATGCAGCTTGGTTTTAATAAGACTGAGCCCACGATTTAAAACCTTCGGCTTGAGTCTTAATTCCTTAGACGCAGCTTTAAGACCCAATCTTAGACCCAACTCTGACAACAGCTTGTGGAGCTTGTGTCACATGATTGACAGCTGCGAGATCTTAGGCTCGACTTAAGGAGTTAAGCCCAATGAAAATAAAACCGACCTTGGTTGGTTTTAGTGAAGAATAAGGCTCAATGTTGGGTCTTATTCTCATCAAAACCCGGAATGCACCAATTCCAACTATGAAAATCCGCCAAAAAGAAGACGAGGGGGGTAGGTCAGCAGGAAAGAATAGGAGAAGGGGGTTGGGGGGTTGGAGTATACATACTGTCCCGCTATAATTATTTATGAGAATTAATATGTACTTTATTTATTATGGAATTGTTTCGTATTACGTAATTTCTCGTAATTATGCCTTAATTACGCGAAACTAGACTTTCTTTCGTAAATGTAATAAATGCGTAATTACGCATAATGCTCCTGCATAAGTGAAAGAAAGTGTTACGCGTAATTACGCATAACGTAATTACGACTGGTAACCCTAAAAACAGATCATGTTCCACAAATACGAAACTAATCTGAAAACAACAATATCCCACAGAAACATGGGAATCTCTGGTTTGATCCTGTTAATTTAATCATTTAATTTTTATTTTGCATTTTTTATTGATAATTATTACATAGTCCGTATTATGTCACCATAACTTAAGCCAATGACAGTGCAGTATACTGGTCACGGGATTACCATCTGTATCATGGGACCAGTATACTACACTCTCATTGGCAGAAGTTCTTGTGACATAATACAGACTTTTAAATAATATTATCAATTATATCTCTAAAAATGAAAAATAAAAATTAAAAATTTTAGTTTTTTTAGTAAGATTTCAATTAAAAAGGGACTGTAGCATAATTTCAAGCAACCACCCTCAATGAAAAGAGGACACTGCCAATTTTAACCATAGTTAGAGGTAAAAAACATGTTCCAAGTTTGCAAGTTTTTAAGTTAAAAAAGCACACTAAAAGTTGTTTATGTTATTTTCTATAAATTAACTTTGAAATAGTAATTTCTCACTCCAATATTCATATTAAACCTTTAAATGGATGGGTGGTCAAAAATCCTATGTATAGCCTGGGTGGGGCGTACCTCATCCCCCCCCCCCCTAGAAAACAGCATTATAGAATAGGTATAGGGTTGAAACACATGTTCATAGCCCAGTTTTTCAAGACCAGCTCATCAAAAAGAATTAGACAGTTAACATTAATAGTTTGGGTGCTAGAGAGTGTTTTACAAAATGCCAAAAAAAAAGAAATTTTGTTGGAAACAAATATCCGAGTATGGCACATGTTTCTGTATCCATTTTTTTAAGGGCTTCTCAAAAATATAGTTTTTAAATCTGTAGCTTTAGTCATAAAAAAGTTATAGGCTATTTTAGATTTTTTTTCAAAGACCAGACTTTTTCTGCTCTGAACCAAAAATTACAGGGGAGGTGCTAAACGCCCCCCTTTTCCCAGCCTGAGGGTTAATATAAAATTGTTTAAAGTATATACTTAAAACAATATTGTGGGCTGTTTTTTGTACATTTTCTTCAAAAATGATTAGAACAATAGAATTTAGCAGAACTGCTTAAGCAATTAGCTTAATCTCAAACTTATTTTTTTTCTAATTTACTGGAATTACACATAATTTTGAGTAATTACAGCCTTTTTTTATAATTTCTCACAAATCAATTTCTCTAAAATACGCAATATTAAAATATTACAAAGGGGAAAGGGGGGCAGATAATAGAAATCCGGATAAGAAAGTGTGTATTTGGAGGTGAGTACTGAGAATGTGGTTAAGGGAAGGGAAGAACCTATTCAAATCCTTCATGACTCTGAATCGGTAGTTCAAATTTGAACTGAAATTTGTTAGTTCAGTGACATACCACATGTTAATTTAACATTAAATTTGATCATAAGATATTCAAAATGGAAGTTAGGGGTAAAAAGTTCTTAAAAGAATAAGTGACACTTAAATATTTTACAGAAAAGAATACAGAGGCTGAATTTAAAGAATTTGAGCTGCGGCTTAAATTTAAGCAGCGGCTCAAACATGGTTGGTTTCACCTAAAATTGTATTCAATGTTACAAGATTTTAGCTGGAGCTCATATAAAATCGGATTTGGAGGATTTAAGACCCGGCTCAAATTCATTAAATCTGGACACAGATTTCTTTTGTATCAAATTCCCGCCACTGTCAAATTTTAAATTGTTTTTTTGGTTGTTGAAACTTTAAACACAAACTTTATAAATAAATTCACTTTAAGCACATGGCACAAATATGATTTACTTGCGCAGGAAACTCTAAAAATAAGGATCAAAGTTTAAATTTAGACTTTGTTTTTTTTCTGTTTAAATTTTCAAAATAATCCTTACTCAGTTTATTTATTACAAATGCATCGCCAAATGTTCTAACAGATGCAGATCTTGAATTAGGGCATTTTGAACCACACAACAACCTAATTTGACAGAAAACTGAGAAACAAGGCATAGTTCATTTTAGCCTAATCTTAGATTTAAATCCCTGATTAAATGTCTGTGTGCATTTCTTGATTGGAGTTAAAATATTTAAAGGTTTGGATTGGCTGCCTGTTTACTAAAAATTGTCTTATCCCCACCCAAAGTAATATATATCTCCAATTAAAAGATATTTTCAAAAAACCTTTACTATGTTTAGATTTTTGTATTCACCTACTGTTTGATTGGCCGTGATTACTCCTTAAGTACTTCTGCACTCCCCACCTCTTTAGACCTATGATTTTAAGAAACCGTTTATTACCAATTGCAAGGATTGAGGTTTGGAGATGGAGGAGGTAATTGTTTTCACCCTTTTTGCAATTAATAGGAATTCTAACTTTTCAAGAATTTCAGATAGAAAAATTTATTTTTTAGGGGCTTGTGAAGTAATTTCTTCCATATTTAATCATCCCATCAGAATTGTGTTAATGCACAGACCCCCAGTTCCAATATTAATGATGCTTTATATAATTATGTTGTTTAGTTTTGAATAATCACAATGCATAATAATATCACCAGAAAAGAACATTACTATAATGACCCATTCTGAAATTAAAACAAAAAAAGCTTAAAAGTTTAAAAATCCTTTTAATGCTTTTACAGACTACCCTGTTAATATTTTCATTATTATAGAAATTCCTACGCTTTAGCTAATCAAATTAAAAATAAAGATTTGAACAGAAATCCA